TGTTCTTACAACTTATTATTATTAAAAGATCTCTGCCAGGCTCTAATTATGAACAGATTGATATTATTATTTTGTAATTATAAATATGTATAGTCTATCTCAATAGAAAGTAATGAAAATATGAACAAACATAGAATTAACAGTATTCTAAGACAGTTCGCCGATGTTTGTTGGCAATACCAGGCAACAGAATTTGAATTGTTATGATGGTACGTGTATAAATTGAGACTAGTTTCCTTTCATTTCGAATTGAATTTTTCATGTTTGTTACCTCATAGCTCCGTCAGTTATAAACTGATTTAGAAAATTATTATTTTATCTAACTTTCAGATTGATCCCATAGACATTTTATCGAAATCGATGCAGTTGTTTAGTTTTTAAATTAAAATGGTTTTGTCACAATTTAACTCGGTTTTATTTTTGAGAAACAGAATCTTAAATTATTGGTATGGATATCTCGTGTGAACTTGTAACTTTCGTTTATTACATTAATTGAGGAATTTGAGTCACCACTATATCCAATTCAGCCTGAAATGTTACCAATTAGAGATCCGAGAGAAATCAGGTCTACATTGCAATAATATCTAATAGTAGTAAAAATAAAAAAATCAATTAATTGATTAAATGTTTCCGTTTGTTTCTAATTTAATCTACAGTGTTTCTGTGATAATTTGCCTACACATATACATAGAATGTTCTAGTGTGTGCGATCAATTATTAAATAGAGAGTTTCCTGTCTTCAGTTATTCCAATTGTTGGATCATACTGACTGTTTGCTGTTTTATATATCTTACTAACATATGACATGTTAGTAAGATATATAAAACAGTATCAGACGAACAGATGGATTGATGGATAAAGTTGCACGGTCTAGTATTTTGTAAATAATATAATGTCTAGTTCAATTAGACACGGTCGTGTTCTAGGTATGCAATTTGCATGTATAAATACGTATAATATGATGGATAAAAAAAAACAACAGAATTATTGCCTTATAATATTGCAAATTCTCTTAAAATTATCTTTTTTGCTGTCGACAGCTCAAGAGATTGTGTGGTTAGAGTTCACATTTAGGTAGGTATATTTATTAATTGAATTTTAACGAATTGTACAAAATCGTAGGTATTATGGTAATCCAATCAGTATGAAGCTTGGATTGTTTTTAATCTACCTTATTTATGAGATACTATTTCCTATAGATTTCATATAGTAAAAAATGAAAGTCTTCAATTTGTCTGTTTTGTGTGTATGTGGTATTTACTAATATTTTAAAACATTCGTAAAATAAATTTAATGATTTTTATTGACTGAGAAATGCTCAAAGGCGTTCATTTTTAGTATTCGGTTTAGTTGGCCTCTTTTATTTATTATGAAAGTGTAAAGAGTTAAGATTTTTTATTATTATTTTTAATTTTTATAAAAATTCTCAACTCAACTTAAGGAGAGGAGATGGCAAACTAACTCCCAAAAGCACAGTCGGCCGGGGTTCAGGGCCCCAGGAAGAGACGGGCGTAAAATGTGAGCAGTATCTAAGAGTACCGCTTTCTGTATCCTTCCCGGGAGTGAGCCGTCTCGGAATCCCAACCGTCTGAGATGTTGTTCCAGACTAGTTGGGATAAGACCGTTCACCGACAGAATGATTGGAATGATTTTGGTAGACGCCCCCTCCCCTAATTTCGGTCACCTTGTAAGCCAAGTCGAGATATTTTCTCTTTTTCTCGGTTTCGGCTTTCACAAGGTTCTCGTCATAAGGTATGGTGACATCCACCAAAAACACCCTCGAGAGTGCCCGATATCAGGTGATTTGTCCCTACTGGGACCGATCCATCATTAAGAACTGTCCTATTAGTGATGATGGATCGGTCCCAGTAACAGCCTCTAGCTGTCACTTTCGAGGACCGGCAGGGGCTCGTACTTATAGGCTTATATTTATTACGGCAACCTCTCATCTACGAAGCCGTACTTCAGAGCTAGCTCTTGATGGAGTATTTTGGCTACCTAGTTGTGTCTGTGCAAGTACGCTGAACAATCCGAAAGCACATGTCTGAGTGACTCTCCGGGATGATGACATGCCCGACAGATGTCCTCAGTGCTATCCTTCAGAATGTGCTTTCAGTAATTTTTCGTCTTAACCACCTGATCCTGTATTGCACAGACAAAACCCTCAGTCTCTTCGAAGAGATCACCGAACTGTAGCTAGTGCACGAAGGTCTTCGTGTTGACGTACGGCCCGTAAAGGGCTTTGAAGAACCTTCCGTGCAACTCCTCTTTCCATACGGCCTCCCGCTGAGAGCTTTTTCGGGTTTTCGCCAGTCCTCTTTAGCTAGAGAAAGAGGAGTGAATCTTTTGTCACATTCTATGATCTCTCTATGCATACCCTCGTTTCTTTTTTGTAAAAAATATGTCCTGAGGCTGTCAATCTCGCGGTTGTGCATACTCTTAACGTTTAACAAGCCTCGACCATCAGCCTTCCGTGCGATATACAACCTCATGACTGACGATTTCGGGTGATGCATTCTATGCATCGTGCGGACTTTCTGATCCAGGGTTTTGAGGTCGGTTTGAGATCATCTGAGCACGCCAAAAGTGTAAAGGAGTACGGATATGATCCAGTCCTTATAAGCTCGGATTTTATTGGCGCCCGACAAGGAACTTTTCAGTACTCTTGTAAGGCGCGCAAAAAAATTCTCGCGGACTGATTGTTTCATATCAGCCTCATCACACCGATGTTTTGTGACATGCCCAGATACCGGTATGTTTCAGCTTCGGAGAAGGTTTTGATATTAGAGGGATCTGTAACGATCCCTTTAGTTTGAGAGACCTGTCCCCTCTGCACATGGAGGACCGCGCACTTGTCTATTCTGCGTGGCATCCTTACAGAGCTCCTATAATTATTTACGATATTTTGCAGCTCTGCTAGGCGTTCGACGCTCGGAGCTAGCAGTTTCAAGTCATCCATGTACAGAAGGCGAGACACTCGTGTATCTCCTTTTCGATACTATATACGCATATAAAAGATTTTTACATTAGGCAAGATTATTTTTTGTGTTATTAAGTTGCATGTAAAATGTAAAAGTTGTATGTGAACCTTATTAAATAAATAAATAAATACTGAAATCCAGTCCCCGAATTCTCCAGTAAAGTACTGAGAATATTCAGGGATAGACAAAACCAAAGTGGACTCCAACAATCGCCCTGGAATATTTCCTTCTTGATCTCAATCCAGTCAGCGGTATCCGTCAATCGCTCGTCCTAGATAGTCAGGATCGTCGTCCACTGCCCCATACATGTCTCGAAGAACACTCGAATTCTATCGTCGATTTTATACAACTCGAGTATCCTCCGGAGCCATGAATGGGGCACGGAATCGAACGCCTTTTTATAATCTATCTAGGCGGTGGAGAAATTTTGATGGTTCCACTTAACCACGTGACGAGCGATAGCATCAGTGAGGAGCAGCACTTTTAATCCGTGGTTATCACCCCTGCATCCGTTTTAAGCGCTAGATAGGATCTTATTTTAGTACACATGACGAGAGTACATATTATTATTATTATTTTAATACAAAAATCCATAACTCTTAAAAAAAAAAAAACAGATTACATGCTAAGTCTCTTATAAATACAGCCAATAACGGATTTTAATTATACAAACGAAAATTATAATTCTAAAGCAAGGTAGGCTAGTTCGAGTGGGTGTATTATATTAGGTCCTTATGTATCAAACTGGCGTTTTGTACGGGAGGAATATAAAGTTATTTTTTGTAAAATATATTTAATTAATCAAAGTATGCACCGTAGTCATCTATGCACTTTCGCCATCTCAAAACCATGGGGGCGAGAATCAATAAACACTTTGAAGGCGGTTTGCACTGCCGCATCGGAGTTGAATTTTTTCCTTGTAAGAAGTTGTCTAAATTCTGGTAAAAATGGTAATCTGTTGGAGCAAGGTCCGAGATGTACGGTGGATATCGCAGACATTCCAATTGTTGCTCATCTAACTTAGTGGTTGTTGGTTGTGCAGTATGTGGTCTTGCGTTGTCGTGAAGCTGCTTCAGGGCTGCTTTAGGCCACTGCTGAGTGGCCTAAAGAGATTGACAAATCTCGGTTGTTTAGCAACTAGTTCTTCCTTCATGGTTTGCAGTTGTTCACAAAAGATATCTGCTGTAATTGTTTGGACAGATTTTAGAAAACTGTAGTGAACGACACTGGCGCTAGTTCACCAAATACTCACAAGTAACTTTTTCTGAGTCATTTTTTGTTTAGGGCAGGATTTGGCTGGGTCTCCAGGGTTTAGCCACTGTGACGAGTACTTCCAATTATCGTACAGTATCCACTTTTCATCACAAGTAATGATTCGATTTAAAATCCCTTCATTATTGTGTCAGTTGAGCAAAGTAACACAGCAGTCGGCAAGATCGATTCACTCAATTCATGAGGTACCCATCGTTCAAGTATTTTTTTACTTTCGCGATTTGCTTTAAGTGGATTAATAGAGTTTTATCACTTACCCCGAAGCCTGCAGCTATCTCTTTAAGTTCTATGGTTTACACTAAGTTAATTAAAATTCGTGGGAAAAAACCTCGTGGATCTAATTCGCATATTTTCCACGAATGCGAATGCCTCATACAATTTCCATAATATTTTATTGTAGAACCGTGCTGAAAAAGCCACGCGCGGTGAAAAATCGCCGTTCACAAATCGTGTTTGTTCTCTGTCAAATATATGGGATAAAGAAACGTGTGGAAAATTTATCAGTCGAGAGAATTTATGGATTTATGTTGACAAATTTAATGACTAATATAATCTTTGTTTTATTAAATCTACTTACAAAAGTCTCGTACAGTAATGTAATAACTTTTATTAAAGTCAAGTCAGAAGGTATGCTACAAAAACAAACGAATTCCACCGGTTCAACCACGGACTTAGTGGAGTTATTTTGAAAAGAACAAGTAAATGAATAATTTAGTTCGGACGGGGAGGGGATTGTGTGAACTTCAAGTATTCAAGCAGTCGCTACGATTCGGTGAGCAGGGAGCACGTGCTACGCTTGTCTGCGGCTACGCGCTACGACTATCTACGCCGTGTTGTTATTATGGATAAATTAATCTATAGTGATTAAAAAACAGTGTTGTGATATTATTATTGAAAAGTTATAAAAGAGATTGTATGAAAGTTAAAATAAATATGATCAGTTTAAAAGTTGGAATTTGGATATCATTAGTAATTTTAATGTTTCGAGGTACGTATGAATTTATTTCTGAAGTACTGACTGTACTTTAATATATTTATGTTTTTATAAATTAATATTTAGCTTAATATAATAAATTAATAATGCTTTTATGGAATTTTAATAAAAAATATAATGCTGTTGTTCATAGGCTTCTTCTTTTATATAAAGTTGTTTAAATTTTAAATGGTGTTTTTTAAAACTTATTTCTTTGTAATTACTTAAAATTTTTTTATATTTAGAAATTTATTCTATCAGCTATTCATTTTGGATTTGCACTAGTATAATAGTGAAGAAAATGAGAACACAGTTTTTTTCATTCACTCAAGTTTTGTATAAAATATTTTAATTCAAAGTTTTTACTTTTCCATAAAATTATTCGAGCATTTTCTTTCATACAAACCTTATTTTGACATTAATGGACACATCAATATAAAAAAAAAAGAATTTAGCTAAATATAGTTAATCTAAAGCGATGTGTTTATGACAGTGTATTTGTAATTACGCGTATATAGCTATAAAAATAAATTTGTTTTAAATGTTAAAAGGCTGATAAGCTCTTAAAATCTCTTCGATTTAAGTCATTGAACTGAATAAGTACCACATACTTCCTGTAGACGAAGGTCTCATTCATGAATTAAATTAAATTTTCTAATTTATTTTTGAATTAAAGAATTCGTTTTTCTGTCTACCTAGATGATTTTAATTTATTATATATTGTAATTATTTTAATTTTTTCAAAAGTAGCTATAACTTAGAGTTAAGGAAAAGAGACAAATTATAAAAACGATTGAGGTCAGAAGGGAAATAATTGGGATACTTGATGCGACACGCCGAATTTATGAACATTATAAAAAAGGGAAGGACTGGAAGGGGGATACCGAGACTTAGTTACATCAGGCAGATCAAGGAAAAAGTTAGTGTCGTATCAAGAGAATTGCTGAAAATCATAGTAAGTGGCAAGAGCTTCATCGACAAGAGCGCAGCTCTTGAATATAAATTAATAAATGGAGTGCCCATATCATAGTAGATAATACAAGTACACTCTGGTTTGGGAACTAGTCAGTAGGTGTGATTGTGATCATACCAACTGACTTGTTCTCAGGCTAGTCTTGTAATAAAGGTTTTTACTCGTTGCATATATATACAATTATATATATGTAACGAAAATTTTATGAACTTACTAGGTTTTTCATTTCCAACAAATGACTTCATTCGGAAGCCAGGATGCGTACATACTTTGCGTTACATCATTTCGCCTCATACAATGACGTACAGAGTAAATTCATAAGATTCCCTTTATACATATATACTCTTTTACAATTAACGCAATTTTAATTATTTTCATTTTATGATATAATTATAAAATGAATGTAAGTTTTAAAAATAATATTTTTACTTGTTGCTATTAAAAAAAAGTAGAGAAATAAATTGGTCAGATATTTATTAACAACAATTTGTGGAAGAGAGCATATTCATATTTTTGTTCTTCTAATAATATATGTACATTAAATAATAAATTACTTTTTATATTTAATGTACTGAACAAGTAGATGTTAATAAGAGTGTTATTAAATACCAACATCAACTGAAATTTTATATTGTAAACTTACAATATATTTAGTAAGTTTACAATATTAAATCATATTTTAACTATTATTTCTTATAGTCACGTTATTTAATTACTTGTGTTTCATCGCCGTTGCGTGTTATAATAGGATTTAATGAGATTTACTGATTAGAACGAAACGAATAAGTAATTTGTTGTGTAAAAATGTTAAATAATCAAATATTAAATATAAATAAATGAACGTTAATGAAACATTATGTCCTTTTACCTGACTGCTCAAAAATAGGGAAATTTAAGTATCTTTGGTATTTTATTAATTGTTAATAGAAGTATTACTGAAATGTGAAAACCACATTCTAATAAATAAATTTGATGGCGTAATAAAAATAATACGATGAAAAGATTTCTTGGCCTAGAAGTAGGTAATATTGCAGCACGTAACCAGAGGGAGACTTTGTACAAAAGTCGATTGCTTGGGTACCTCTGTCTCATTCGTGTTTCAACCGTGAAGCAGTTGTGTTTGCATGGCTGTGTTTCGGTTTGAAGGATGGGATATGGCGTGAATTTACAGGGTACAGAGGAATAACACCCGAGTCCTCAGGAATGGCAACGCATGGGGGGTATCATGGGCGAAACAGTATACTCTGTTATGTCCATGGTACTGCTCATGTGTTATAAAGCAAGCTTGATGGCAAGCGGTTAAAGCGCCGTAGCGTTATAAATGTGTAATTTAACAAACGCATATAAACGTAAATGACGCCTACGAATTCGGATAACTTCCTGTCCGATCCTATCTGTGTAAATAGGAAGGTTTTATATACAATCTATAGAACGCGCATCAGTTGTCTGATGTCACTCTCGTTTAGTTTAAGAAGGCTACATGGAAGTTTATTAAATGCTACCGGAATTACCTCTATAGTTTAGCTGCTCCCTGCGCTGCCATTTCATTTTTTGTTATATAGTCGTTTGGTCTTGTTTGTAAATAAACAAGAATCAACCATATTTCACTATGGGGAACGAGTAATAATAATAACATAATAATAAATCTTTATTTGCATAAAACATGGTATACAATAATGTTATAATTATGTTGATTAGTGCACATGTCTTACTTAAAGCATGCAAATTCAGTCATTCATACGATATAATGGCACTATAGGTTCCGGTTCTCGACTCCTAAGGGTAGTTCCTTTTCTTAAACTCGCAGTACCTTTAAATACATTGTAACGTGACTTTGTTATGAGGCACGATGATCTAGATGTATTCTGTCATGTTCCAGTATTAGGACTTAGGTTGTTCCGTTATTTATTTATTCTTTAATATCCGTACAAGATATAAGTACAAGGCGAACTTATTGCTAAAAATTTTTTCCCCTAGTTAACCTTAGGGTAGTATTCATTAATATAGGTATTTTAAATTTTATTTGTATGTTACTTACAATCATGGTGATCGCATTACATTTATCTAAGTTGAAAAATCGATCACGCGAAAGGAACGATTTTTTAGGTATCGTACATAAATTCACATAGAAAAATAAGCGATGTTAAATCGAACAATACCGATGTATATACTGAAATTTGTGATAAAGTTTGATGAAATTTTTATTGACAGATTAATATTGATGAAATATGAAGAAAGTGAAAAACGTTAAAGGAAAATAAAGTGGATTCACAACATTAGCTTAACAAGCTTTGACTACTCACTTTTTAACCGATTACATTTAATTAATTTGCATGCCACATGGTACAAATTAGTAATTATAATATAAAAGGTAAGTACATAACACATATGGTACCCCCTAGGGGTACCGCAATTTACATAATAACTATCGACTTTCATAATAGATGAAATCATATATTATATTGTAACCATACATTTTAACAATTATACTGTGCACATTGATGCAACAAAACAAGAAATATAGAATTAAAAAAAGATTCAGTCACATAATGGTCATTGAAATGTGATTTTTATAGTTAATGATAATTCTATAACAATTTGTAATTAGTAAATTATCAAATATCTAATTACAAGAAATTGAAATAATTTCCTAAAATTCGTTGTTATTGAATGATAAAAGAAATGTAAGTTGAAAATAAGTTGGTAAGTATAATATTATTTTTATCAAGAAAAAAGAGAATTATTAATGAGACGGAATTATGAATTCGAAACATACATTTTATTTAATAGTAGACTAATGATTCAGCTCAGCATCGCACAACTAGATAAAATTTTCGAAAATCATATATATAGTCTATGTTACTCTCCGATAATATAGCTTTCTATGGCTGAAAGAAATTTTAAAATTCGCTGAGTAGTTTTTGAATTTCTATCGATTAAAGCAATATGCTAGTTATAAATAATATGTGAAATACATAGTTTCAGTTTACATTGTAACTATACCTACGTATATTTTAAATAAAATCGCTATTTTAAACCTGTTGGTGCATGATTCAACTGTATGAATACTTTACGTGAAGTGTATTACGTTTTTGAATGGTAACTGCGGCGTGACCCGTTTGTTGCAGTCTACTGCATAGGTGCACTCTGATCAATTCTATATGTGGTTTTTATTATAAATATTTCTTGCTGCCCACCTGCAAATACATCGTTACTTTTTAATACATATATTTCTGTAGTTCAATAAAAACCAAGTCAAGTGCGAATTGAATCTATACGTTATGGATTCCGTATACAAATAAATCTGTATCTGTTTTCTTTAGACAAAAAATATTTAAGTATGCAGATATGACATAAAATGGCTTTATGTAGAAATATGTTTAATGTGTTTCTTATACGAAGTAGACGTGCAATAATTATCTTTATTGCAATTCGGATTTCCTTATGTTGGGCCATAAAGGTGTTTAAAAACAGGACCGCGTAACTGAAATATAATTTTAATAAATGAACTTATCATTTATTAAAATTTGTCGAGAATTTCTCAAAATATTATCAGCAAAATTTTAGCAAATTCTCAAAATTCATATTGCAAGTTAGAAATATCGTTCTATTTTTCTTGTAATATATTCGTAATGTTTAAAAACTGCAATTATTTCAGATATTTTGCTTTTGAAACATCGTAGATAAAGTAAATGATGACCTTTTTTCATTTTTTATCATAATTTTAAAACTACAAGGCATAAAAATAATTAAAAAATAGTTTTGGAATACATAAACGAAACTCTTGTGTTTAAACGAAACTGTTGTCTCGAAAATATGTAATCCAAAAAGGAGATCTGTTTGCAGTAATAGGCTAATTTTGTAACATTTTTCATTTTGCTTTATTTTTTAAACTATTGAGTGGAGTCTATATCCTTTTAAAAATACGAAATCCGCCAATTCGATTATTTGTTAATTTATAGTTTAATAATGTTGTGTGATTATTTAATTTTTTTTTTTGTTATGGCTACGAGTTGTTGTTATTATGTAGGATTTTCTATGT